TGTAATAATTTCAACAATAAAGATACATTTTTAAAAATTAAAAATTTTTTTAAAATTTTAAAATATCTCAGTCCAAAAAAGGAGGGTAGGACAGAAGGGGAGAGAAGAAACAGAGAAATGTGGAATAAGAGGAAATAAATAAACCTAAATGTATGAGAAATCACAGGAAGAGTTAATGGATTAAAAAATAAAAAGATTTGAACAAATTACACTCCCCCAAATAATCTGAACATAAGCATGTCTATACCCTAACAGGATTAATGCTTACCAGAAATTGGGATTTCCCCATACCATGAAGTTATCATGAAGTTAGATTTTATGGAATGGCATAAAGATAATAAATAGACAGGTTAACACTATATTTCCAATGTTTTCTCACTGCTCATGGAAGTTCCAGTTCTCTCAAGTGCAATTTTTAACATTTTTTCAGAGTTTTAAAAATGTTAGTAATTTTATCTTTCTTTGAAGAAATGAGAGTTTCTCATTCAGAATTATGTTCAAGAATATCCCATTTTTGTGCTAGAAAAACTTAGAAATGAACTAAACATACAAAAATAAAGAAATTATTAAATAAATAATCTTAGGAGAGTGTCTGCTATCATGCTAATAGTTTACAAATTATACATGCAACAATAAAGTATATAATAATAGAAAAATTGAGTATTAAATTATATGTACAATATTATCCTTACTTAGGCACATGAATAAACTCTCAGACACACTGAACTAAAACAGAAAAAGGCTGAAATAAAAAAGATGAAAAGACTCATTAACAGCAGTGATATGGTCATATGTAATTTACATATATTTTTATTCTTTATATATCTTTATTTCCTGCCATCTTCACAATAGACATGTTGTAATTAAAAGATAAAACAACAAATATAACAAAATATTGTATTATCCAACTGGAGATATTATAAGTAATTGTTTCTAAAAACAAACTTATCTAGAATAAATATAACACAAAAAATTGTGTTCACCTCGATTCTAACATGTTATTTGATGTTAAAAATAACTATCTATACCAGTGTAAATGAACAGTTTATGCCAAAATGTAAGAAAGTGCAATTATTCATTGTTTCCAAATTATAGTAAGGCTTACCTTCACAAAGCTTTTGCTTCATCACCTCCCTTATTTTGGATATCGCAATATAGTCCTCGACATAAAACACGTACGTAGAGGAAGGCTTGTTAGCAATAGCTCTAAGTTCTGCATCTTCTGTTTCCGAGCCAACCCCAATGGCAAATAATGTTATTTTATTGTCTCTTGCTGCTTCTGCCGCATCTTTGACTTCATCTTGGGATTTACCATCCGTAAGTACCACTGCGATCTTAGTCAGAAAGCGGGAGGACTTGGCAAAGAGGTAATCAAGTGCAAACTGGATGGCCTTGCCAGTCCTTGTGTTCCCTCCTAAGTAGTGTATGGATTCCATCGCTGTCATCAAATTCTCTCCCGAAATGTGGCTTCCAAGAGGAATCTCCAGGACAGGGTAGTCACTGTACTGGACCACTCCAACCTGAATAAACTTTGGTCCTATGTCAAAGTTTTTTGTGATATTGACAAGCCACCTTTTGACTATTTCAAAGTTTTCTGGGCCAACGCTGTAAGAACCATCTAAGATGAAAACTAAATCTGTCGGAGCAGTACGACAACCTAAATGGGGGGGAAACAAAAGCATCAGCTCACATTTGTTATATAAAAAGCAAAAAGTGGAAAGTTTTACATGCATGATGTTTTAATTAACCAGATGGACTGAATTCTTTCACAGTGTGTATGTATATCAAGTCACCATGATGAATGCTTTAAACATCTTACAAGTTACAAGTCAATTGTACCCCAGAAATTTTTTTTAAAGATCACAGTAATTATTTATAGGAGCTTTGTGAAGATTAAAATACCCTGCTTAGCTCATGAAAATTCTTTGTAAATGAGGGCTATTATTTTTGCCGATATTTTTAATTATCTTATTTTTAAAATTAACGATTCAGCTTTAAATAGGGAATAAAATATGCATGCTGAACATGAACATGATATCTAGATATTTCTTTGTAGGTATGAATATTACCTATCATAAAGCAGCATTTTATTCTATTTCCCCACTGAATAAATGAAAATAAATAAATAACCGCATGATTTTCAGCTATACACAAACATTATTGTTTTAAATTATCAATGAAATATGTTTTATTTAATACTGCCNTTTTATTCTATTTCCCCACTGAATAAATGAAAATAAATAAATAACCGCATAATTTTCAGCTATACACAAACATTATTGTTTTAAATTATCAATGAAATGTTTTATTTAATACTGCATGAATTATTTACAAATATATAAAAAACAATTAAAAGAGGGAAATAAAAACAAACTTTCTGCCAACTCCAGGACTCAAGCAGCCAATAAAGATCCATAGTCTTCATTTAAAGGTTCATAAAAGTTAAATGAGCCAAAATCAGCAAAGTCATCAGTCTTGCACTACATGCAAAGTGAGTTTTTAAAGGTCTGATCTCTCATCATCAGTGACTAACGTAGCCAAAACATTAGCTTGTGCGAAGTGAATCTATATTCAAAGGTATAAAGCTATTTCTTTTTCCATAAAGATTCTTGTTTCAAGATACCAGGAAACAGTGTGATCAGCACATCTTATAGTTCTACTGGGAAAAAAGACTAACTCTGGTGCAAGTTACACCTAGACAAGTTCTGAGCACTTGTAGAGAGAAAAACTTCACTCTGTTTCCCACAGCACACAGCATGCCTCCAACTCTATCTCGTTATTTTAGTGTGTATAATTGAATACCTACTCGGTGTCTGATATCATGCTAGGTACTGGCTCCAAAGATACATATGATATCTCAAAAAGCTCACAGTCTAGTAAGACAGATAACTGGCTGGGTAGGGAGAGTACAAAGTATTATGAAAACATTCACAGCCCATCTGATGAGGATCACATGCCCCTGGATTTGATGAATTGGAAGAAAATGAGCTGAGCCAAGGTACTATGACAGCAAATGTTAAGTCTTATGTTTTTACTCATATTAATGGTCTCCTTTAAGTTGTGATCAGATGCCCAGGATGATTTATTTTCTGTATATATTTCAAATAAGATATCATAATTGCAAAGAATGGTATTGGAAAGAATGGTTTAGTGAGAATTAGTATTCGTATTTTTGTATCTCCTTAGGAGTAAGTTATCAGTCAATCTCCCTCTCTCCCTGTCTTCCACTTCCTCGCTCCCTCCTTTCCTCTCCTTTCCTCTCCTTCCTTTTCCTGATGTTTGCCTTCTTACATATCTGGGATGATGATGACAAGGTTCACATAAAGAGTCCTCAATTTTACAGTTTCCCATCACAGTAACCAGCTAAATAAACACTGTTGTCAGGTGAACACGTATAAGAGTCAAGATGTTACTTAAAAAACAAAATGAAAAACCTGCCAAAACACGGATTTGTCTCAAAAATGCAAGTGTGATCATGACGCTACTCCTAAGGTGCTAACGGCAGGTGGTCGTGCAGTGCAGAAGGGAGCAAGGGACACTCTTCCAACCTCTGCCATGGTGGCCACTGCCAGAGTTCAGGGCAGGGACAGCAGAATGGAACTCCGCCCACTGGCAACTTTTCTAACCCAAGGGAATGCAATTTTTCTGTTATTTTTGAACCCTGGTCTGGGGTTATGCTCTTATTGAGGTTTCTGAAAGGCTAGGGAAGTTGTGTTTGCAGAGCTCTTCGAAGTTGCCCTTTCTAAATACTGTGAGATTCATTACTGTCTGGACCTGCGAGTGTTTTTGTGCCACTTGAATCTGTAGTTATAAATGCTTACAGGGTTATTCTTGGCAATTCTACCCCTTTCCAGAGCCATAGAGTATATATTTCATACCTGCACGGTTAGCCAAGACCATGGGTACAAAAAGCAAATATTGCCATTTATAAACACCAGACAAAATAGTACTCCAAGAGACCTTCTCCTTGGGGAGATGAATCACCGATGTCATAGGAAAGAAACGGACTGAAGATAAAAGCATAGTGGAAAGACTAGTTACAGCTCTAACGAGCTGTATGAAACTAGGTAACCCCCTGAAATTTTGTGAATCTCTTTTCCCGCTCAAAACAGAGAAAAAAGTATCCACCTTGTTGGGTACTTGGGTGTATTAAACTATGAAAGTGTTAGGCAAACATTGTTTTAATAAATTTTAAGCCAAGTAAAATGAAGCTGTCAAACCACCCGATTTAACTGTATAGAAACCATAATTAATTTAAAGTAGGGCCTTTATAAGTTTTAAAATATGAAAATAAGCCAATTCTTAAAAAGAAGTATGATATCTGCTGTAGAGGCCTGGGTAGCAGAACCACATTAATATAGCTCTTCTCTAGAAATGGTTCCCACAGGCAACTACAGTAACAGTGGCTGTCTGCATGCATTATCTCGCTTACACGAATTATCTCACTGTCTCTGGGAGATAACCTCAGAGGATGGTGCTGATAACCATCCTAGGAGGTAGGTATTTTTTTATCTCTGTATCATAAGTGGCTGAACTCAACACGAAGGTTTATTCCAAAGCCTGATGGGTTAACAGAATAAACAATTACCGAAGAGTTCTCTCCAAATGACCTCTGTTAGAAGCTTTTCCTCTCGACTAATGTGTAACATGGCAATTCATTCCTGTTAGAAAATTACAACATCAAAGACCCTAAGAAGGAGATCCCAGAAACCACTGCGGGAGCGCCTCTTGCTGGATTCCTACAGCCTGCTGGTAACAGAAAGGGGCGGCGCGGGGGGCGGGTGCTCTTACTCGATCGTATTTCATCTTCAGCGGATAGGGAATCCTGGAGAAGCAGGGCCACAACTGCCCACAGGAGCTTGAGATGGAGAGCCATGTTTCCGTTTCCGTTCCAAGTATTTTGGTTTTAGGATTCCTAAAAAGAAAAAGAAAAAAGGGAAGTTAAATATATTTTAAAAATAACACAACAACCTAGCCACTGTAAGTTTAATTTTAAAACTGCAATACCCAGTTGTAGTACAGTTGATGTTTACTATCCTTAAAATTAATTTGTGTGTTTAAAATAGCCACACAAGGAGTAGGACCTGAGGAAGACCTTGATAAGTCTTTTAATTCATAATTATCTTGAAAAATTATAAACTTTTCTAAAACTTTGGGCTTTTCCCAAAATATTTTCCAGAATTCCTTTTAGCATATTCTGTAAAGCCTTATCACATTCTTTGTATTATCTTGATGGTACCAACAGTCTTCTTTAAATATGTATTTGCATTTAAAAAACATGCGAATGGTATCTGGTAAAATATTTATATGATAAAACTGAGTGATAAAGTTTAACTTTTAAAAGTGGGGTGTAATTATAAACATTAGATATAATTGATTTATAAACAGTTATATGACATTAATGTATCTTTTAAGTGAGTCCACGGGCTTTACTTCTAGTTAGAATGTGGAAAGTTGCAAGACTTTCACTCCCATCAATGAGAACATGCCAGATAAATTATAAAACTGTAGTATTTTTAAACCTAGAAGAAAAGACTCGATTTAAAGAAACCTAAATAAACCAAATTCCAAAAGTTAGTAGTCCTTCATAAGGAAGAAGAGATTCGGGACTGCTTTTGTGCCTAGCCGAAAGGGACTCCCCTGGAGAAGAGGAATTTGCCACAGCGTGGGAGAAGCCAGCCAAAGGGGGTGAGACAGGTTGGCACCCTGAGGGGCCCAGCCACAGACCAAGGGTGCCCCACCCAGCAGTTCTTCCCCAGGAGCTTTCAATGAGCGCATGGAGCAGACAAGTAATACAAAGAAAGACGAGAGCAGTTGAAAGAGCACAGAGAGAGCCTCCCCCGGTTCCGATACCCAGGACAGAGCTCAGATACAAACCCGTGGCTTGCGAGGGCTAGAAGGGAAGCAACAGCACCGGAGTCCCTCCAGGCCCTGCAGGCCTTTACTACATGGAGAGAGGTTCCTCGGAAAGCAGAAAGCCGAAGGCCAAGAGAATAGACTCGGAAATACAAAAAGCTGTAACCCTACTGAAAAGCTGAAAGAAACCTCCCAGAATAGGAGAAGGGAGAACATTTTATTTCTGCCCTGGCCGGTTTGCTCAGTGGTTAGAGCACTGGCCTGTGCACCAAAGTGTCGCAGGTTTGCTTCCCGGACAAGGGGAACGTAGCTGAGGTGCAGGTTCAATCCCCAGGCACAGTAGGGGCACCTGTGGGAGGTGTCTTTCACATCGATGTTTCTCTCTCTCTCCCCCTCTCTCTCTCTCCCCTACTACTCTCTCTAAAAATCAATGGAGCCCGGCCGCCGTGGCTCAGCAGCTGAGCATCAACCTCAGATGCAGGAGATCTCGGGTCGATTCCCGGGCAGGGCACGTGCCCAGGTTGCGGGCTCCATCTCCAGTGGGGGGCGTGCAGGAGGCAGCCGATCAATGACGACTCTCTCTTCACTGGTATTTCTATCTTTCTCTCTCCCTCTCCCTTTCTCTCTCTGGAATCAATGAAGATATATTTTTAAAAAAATAAATAAAAATAAATAAAACAATGGAAAAAATATACCCTGGGTGAGAATTAATAGCAACAAAAAGGAAATGTGATTTTTGATCAGGAGAAAAACACTCAAGCAGATTCAGAGATGATCTACATATCAGATATATCAAACAGGATTTATGAAACAGCTATAATAAATTTGTTAAAACACCTAATAAATAAGATAGACAACAATGTGCAAAAATATGAAAAGACTTAGAAGAGACCTGGAGACTATAAAAAAGATACAAACTGAAATGCTTGCAATAAATAAATAAATAAATACATATATATATACATACACACACACACACGCACACACATAGACTGAAAAAGAATTCATGCAAATGGCCTTAACTGTATACATATAAGGAAAAGGTCAGTAAACTGAAAGATAAGTGAATAATTGAAATTATCCCAAATGAAACCCAAAAGGGGGTGGGGAGACAGTGATAAAAGGAACAGAGCATCTGAAATTTATGGGAAACTATCGAATAATCCAGGTTTAGCATACAAGTAATTAGTTTTTGAGATGGAAAAGAGAAAGTGAATATAGAGATATTTGAAAATACAATGGCCAAGAATTTTCCAAATTGATAAACATTGCGAACAATCAGATCAAAAAAGTTCAACAAACCCCAACAATATATAAAGTCAGTCACATTTAGGTGCATCATAATCAGATGAAAATAAGAATAAAAGAGAAAATTCCTAAAACTAGCCAGAGAAAAAAAGACACATTACATACAGAGGAACAATAATAAGAATTTTAGATAGAAATTTCACAGTAATAAATTTGGCAACAGATCAGAAAGATAGAAAAATCTTAAATGTGTAAACATCTAATAATAAAGCTTCAGAATACACAAAGCAAAATAATTTTTTAAAGCTAAAAAAGAAAAAGACAAATTCAAGTTACAATGTGAAATTTCAACATCAGTTTTCAGTAATTACTGAATTAGACAAAAAGTTAGCAATAATACAAAAGATCTGAAAAAGAGCTACTTTTCATGGAGTGGACATATAAAGAACACTCCACCTAACAACAGCAGAATATCCATTCTTTTGTAATGCATATAAAATAGTCAACAAAATAGATCATATGCTGGAGAAAAAGCAAGTCTTAAATTCCAAAGGATTCAGATTACACAGCTTATGTTCTTTGACCTAAATGATATTAATTTAGAAAAGGAAGAATATCCCAAAACACTTGAAAATTTAGCAATATACTTCTAAATAATTCATGAATTAAAAGGAGATAAAGAGATTACTAAAGCTTTGTCATAGAATTTGAAAGCAGGGAGCATATACCTCCAGCTTTGTTTCTTCTTTGGCTATCTGGGATCTTTTGTGGTGCAATATCAAGTTTAGGATTATTCGTTCTGGTTTTGTGAAAAATGCCATTGGTATTTTGATAGGATTGCACTGAATATGTAGATGGCTTTGGGTAGGATGGCTGTTTTAATAATATTAATCCTTCCAAATTTTGAGAACAGTATGTCCTTCCATTTATTTGGGTCTTCTTCAATTTCTTTTATCAATGTCTTACAGTTTTCAGAGGGCAGTTCTTTCACATCCTGGGTTAAATTTATTCCTAGGTATTTTATTCTTTTTGATGCAATTATAAATGGAATTTTCTTAATTCTCTTTCTGATAGTTTAATAGTGTATGGAAACGCAACAGATTTCTGTGTATTAATTTTGTATTCTGCAGCTTTACTGAATTCATTTATTAGTTCTAATAGTTTTTTGGTGGAGTCTTTAGTAATCAAAACAGTATGGTAGTGGCACAAAAACAGACACGGATCATGGAACAAAATAGAGAGCCCAAAAATAAACTCACACATATGGTCAATTAATCTATGATAATGGAGGCGAGAGTATACAATTATAAAAATGACAGACTCTTCAACAAATGGTGTTGGGAAAACTGGACAGATACATGCAAAAAACTTAATCTGGATGACATGTTTATACCATATACAAAAATACACTCAAAATGGATTAAAAATTTAAATATAAGACCTAAAATCATGAAACTCCTAGAAAAAAACATAGGCAATAAACATTTTGACATTGGTCTTAGGAGATTTTTCTGGATATGCCTCTCCAGGCAATGGCAAAGAAAGCAAAAATAAACAAATGGTATTATATCAAACTAAAATGTTTTTGTACAGTGAAGGAAACCATCAATAAAACAATGAACAAACTACTGAATGGGAGAAGATATTTGCAAATGATATATCCAATAAGGGGTTAATATTCAAAATATATAAAGAACTCATTCAGCTCAACATCAAAAAACCAAACACTCCAATTAAAAAAACGGGCAGAGGACTTCAATAGGCATTTCTCCAAAGAAGACATACAGATGGCCAACAGACATACGGAAAGATGCTCAGCACCACTAGTCACCAGGGAAATGCAAATCACAACCACAATGAGATATCACCTCACACTCGTCAGAATGGCTATTATTAACAAATGACAAGTATTGGCATGGATGTGCAAAAGGGGAACCCTTGTGCACTGTTGTTGAGATTGAAAATCAGTGCAGCCAGTATGGAAAATAGTATGGAGGTCCCTCAAAAGAAAAAAATTGAACTACCATACAGTCTAGCAATTCCACTTTTGGGTATATATTCCAGAGAAGCTGAAAACACTAATTCAAAAAGATCTATGTACCCCTATATGTTCATTGCAGCACTATTTACAAAAGCTAAGATACAGAAGCAACCTAAGTATTCATCAATAGATGAATGGATAAAGAAGATCTGGTATATATGTCCAATAGAATACTACTCAGCAATAAAAAAAGAATAAAATCTTACCATTTGTGATCTGGATAGACCTAGAGGGTATTATGCTAAGTGAATAAGTCAAACAGAGAAAGGTAAATATCATATGTTTTCACATATATGTGGAATATAAACATGAAGGAGAATAAGAGGTGCAAACTTCCAGTTACATGGGGATGTAATATACAGGGAATATAGTCAATAATATTGTAATAACCTTGTAGGGTGGCAGACAGTTACTAAACTTATCATGGTGATCACATTATAAGGTATATGAATGTTGAATCACTAATATTATACACTGAAACTAATATAATATTATATGTCAGCTATACTTTAATAAAACAATCAGAGGGGATATTAAAAAATATTTCAAACTGACCAATAATTATTTTTAAAAATAAAATTTTATGATGAAGCTAAAGTACTGCTTAGAGAAGGGTTTAGCTTAAAAACATTTATTAGAAAAAAAAATTAAAAATCAATATCAAAGCTTCCACATTAAGAAGCTAGGGAAAGAACAACAAACTAAACACAAAAAGTAAAATAAAATTATCAGTGAAACAGAAAATTTAAAAATAACGTTAATTCTTTAAA